AAACATCAGTTTGTTGTTGTACTCCATTCACCAGGACAAATACAAAAGAAAGGCAGATAAATTAGTGACCAGACTAAGCAAAGAAATCTACAAGTGTGTGATTCTGCAGACAGACCGGGTTTCATAAAAATCACAAATTATAAATCGGCCAATACAGCAGGTTACAAGAGAACTACCATTTCCCAAATATAAATTTTATTGATCCCAATCCAGCATGAAACTACACTTATTTAGGGAAAAGATAACTCATGTCATGTCATTATCGGCAAGAGTTCTAACTTGGAGCAAAGAATTGCAATAAGCAAACCTTTTAAGAAGAAAACTCTTCCAATATAGTGGCTATCTAGGAACAAGGGTCTTTAGAAGTCTTTTGCTGCACTTTAACTTTGCTCTTCAATGCTGCAGTTTTGTCTTTGTTTATAGCATCCTTTGTTTTTAATTTATGCACACAACAATATCTTGTGCTGCACTTTGACTTTGCACTTCAAAACTTCATCTCCTACCCACCCTACAATCAATATCTACATGTGTGTTGTACAATCTTACAATTTGTATGCCCCTTCAAGGTCATCCAGATCTTAATTTTAACTACAATGTGTTCATGAATCAACTATGGAAAAGACTGGCCAAATGTATTTCATTTTGAATTGTAAATTCTTGTTGTCTAGATTTTGAGAATTTCAGTTCTCAAAGCACAACCATGAAAGTTAGATGCTAGTAAACCACAATAACTCAAAAGAATATGCAATTTTAAGCAAATACACAAACAGAGATTAAAAACAAGCATAGCACGCACCTCAAAGTACGATCCAAATGGGACGCCAAGGACCTGTTGCACAGCTTCGAACATCTGGAATAGGGAAATACTAAAATAAGTGAAAAACAAATTAAGTGTAGAATTGCATTATCAGAAACACACAACATTATTTAGTGTTCATGAAAAGATTATGATAAGAGAAATTACCAGGGTTTTTTAATGTCATGAGAGAACATGTTAAAAGACTGTTGAAATACATGTTCATAACCTTCATATTCAGAATTCAATTTGACTTTTTCTATTCAAATTGAAAAGGAAAAATGGGGATCAGACGATTTCTTCAAAAGGGTAGGCTACGCCCAAACCCATGGTTACCTATGGTAATGGTTGTCTGAGACGGTAGGAATATACAAAAACAATTCTATAATATGCAGTTTGCTCCTCTAATTCACTCTGACAGAAATTGATCGCCTTATTCTTGTGGATTTCATACATATGGATGATTATTGGAACTATAAATTCATATAATTTTTAAAATTATACTAATATTGACGTCCATGGCATAATAAAATACTTTTAAACACAATCATATTTTTTAAAAATTAATTTAAAGAAAAGTTGCCTACTAAAGAACATGATGGTTAAGCCCTAATAGCACGACATGATGCTGAATTCATAGTATGATAAAGCTTATTTAAATTCAGGA